ACTGCTGGTGGTTTTGGTCAAGCAGCTGTAGCTGGTGGATTTGGCCAACAGACAGGCGGATTTGGCCAACAGGCAGGCGGATTTGGCCAACAGGCAGGTGGGTTTGGCCAACAGACAGGCGGATTTGGTCAACAGGCAGGCGGATTTGGCCAACAGACAGGCGGATTTGGCCAACCAGCCACAACTGGCGGTTTTGGTCAGGCAGCGACTCAGGGAACTGCTGGTGGTTTTGGTCAAGCAGCTGCAGCTGGTGGATTTGGTCAACAGGCAGGCGGGTTTGGTCAGGCAGCAACTCAGGGAGCTGCAACTGGCTTTGGCCAGACTGCTGGGACGGGATTCGGTCAACCCAGTGCCGCCGGTGGCTTTGGTCAAGCGGGTGCCACTGGCATGTTTGGACAACAAACAAGCGGCTTTGGTCAAGGTGCAGGTCGAGGAATATCTTTTGGTGCGTCTTCAGGTGGCTTTGGTGGCTTTGGTCAGTCTGCTGGGGCAATTGCGGCGGCTCCGGGCTCAAACATTTCTACCAACGCCATGCCTTTCCTTAATCTGCCCGACTTTGCGGAGAAACCGTATGGGAATGTATTACTTTTTGCTCCGGATGAAGAACCTAAGAAGCCCGTGGTGGCTGCTCCCTCAGCCGCAAGTGGTTCCTCTATTGCAATACTCCCCGCATCAATGTCAAGATACCAGCAGAAAATGAGAATCGGAGCCACAGCACCTGACCCCAGTTCCAGCCTTAAGCAACAGTCTGCCTCATTTTCGGTCAATGGTCTCTCACAGGTTGCCCTATGTGATCTGATCAGTGCTCCCAAGGTAAGTTTGGGCCTGCCGGATGCTGAGCAGAGTATTGTCCCCCCGACGACTTCTGAGGCCTTATTGGGTACAACTGAGCTGACTACTCCCGTGGTTGCGTCCCACGTACCTGTTTGCTCGAGTAGTGACTATATGTTGCACCCCCCTTTGGAAGTCCTAAAGGACTTCACTGTTCAGCAGTTGCAAAATGTACATGATTTCAGTATTTACCGGCGGGATGGGAAGTGTTCCGTACGCTTTCTTGAACCTGTGAATCTTGTTCGCTGCGATGTGTCTGAAGTCGTCGTCCTTCGCCCAAATGGGGAGGTACAGTTTTATCCGGGTGTTACTACACCCCCTCCGCTCGGGCATGGGGTTCACGTACCGGCGCGTGTGACAGTAAACGGCGTCGTTGCGACGACAGCGGAGGAGCTTCGTGAACGTTGTCGCAGAGATGGCGTTGTGTTCGACTCGTATGACGCGGAAACAGGAAGATGGATCTACACGACCAACGTGGATGCCGATGTTGTTGCGGATAGAACCGTAGAGCCTGATGACGAGTTTGTACCAGAAATTGAGCATATTTCCACCTATGGGGATTCTTCGAACGGCGCTGTACATACACCCGCTCAGCTTGAAACGAGTGGTTGGTCGCGTCCGGCGACGCCTACACCATCTCCTCTACGCATGCAGCCGGCGGTCCCAGCTTCTCTCGTCCAACTTCCAACGCGAAGCGATCAGTCATCTACGCTTCCAAGGCGGACGCGAGAGGTGACAGTGCGTGGAACACTGACATATCCCACGGTTTGCGAAAAAACTGAAGCACCCATGGATTTTAAACTACCTTATGATCTTCCTGATACGTATGAGGTTCCACCCCGTGAAAGAAAGGGTGCACTAGTGTTTAGGGGCCTTCAAATAGATAAGCAGGTTCCAGTGTACGTGGTAAGAAAGGAGGAGTCAAAGTTGTACGAAATGAACGGAAGCCTCGTTTCGCAAAGCACCATGGGGAGCCTGGGGCGAAGTTTTCGTTGTGGCTGGTGCCTCTCAGGACGTATCGCCGTCCCTACCTTTGCGTGGCTTCGTGATGGAACAGAAGATCAACAGATGCGGCAGGAGGTTCCTGGAGCAAGAGTTTCCCTCATGAATCCCTTCTTTGCTCATACCACAAGCAAACATTACTTGCAGAGCTGCGCCATCTCAGTCCTTCGGACAGTCTGCCGATACCTTCACTTCCTTGAGGGAACGTCGGATAAGGAAGACAGGTATCCGTTACTTACTGTGATTTTGTGCCGTGAAAGTAGTAATGTTTCACTATCAACGGAGAAGTTACAAGAGCTTGTTGTCGCCATTGACGCAGTACGGGCTGAACGGCTTTCCCCCATGGAGATATCAACAGCGCGGCAGGCGAAAACCGTGCTGAACCTTCTTGATGCCCTCTATGGACTTCCAGAGGCCGACAAGGCCGAGGGTAATGCTCTCGCCGAAAAGCGCTACCTCACGCAACTGCGGAGGAGGAACCTCAATGCTTGGCTCAGGGATGAGTTGAGCTTTATGGATACCTGGACGGAGGTGGAGGTGGGGATAAATTCAACGCAGAAACTACTCGTTAAGTTGCTTTGTCACAAATTAAGGGATGCTGCCCTCATTGCAAAGGAGGCGGGGAGCACAGAACTTTTCCGTGTGCTGGGCATATGCGGCGATGGAAATCAGTTTGGCAGTTTTGTAACAACAGCGGATATGAACCATATTAACGCGGAACCGAGCGTCCGTGATCGTGTTGTTGCTTTGCTTTCAGGCGTTGTTGAGCCTTTTGTTTCCCAACCACGCTACGAGCGATCAAAAAGTGGGGAGGTTGTCGCCATGATTCCGTCGAATGCGACATGGAAACAACTACTTGGCGTTTTTGCCTTTTATGGCTGCTCACCAGATACTCCAGCAGAGGACATTATTTGCGAATTCTTGGAGCGCCTGCGTACACCGTCCGCGCGACACGAGAACGCGTACCCTCCGTATGCGGACTATGTTGCACCTGAAATGCTGCACACGGCGCGCGGGCAAGATTTCATCGCCCGCGGGAACGAGTTGCAGGACGCTGCACTGAGCGTCTTGGAGGGCTTTACACTGGGTACCGCCCCTGTGGCAATCGCATTGCACCCGCACGCCTCCAGTTACTGCGCGACGGACTACCTGGCACCGTTTCTCATCCTCCTCGCCGTTCGTGCGCTGAAGTTGCAGCGCTCAGACAACTACATCGATGCCGAAACGAAGGTCCTCTTGGGTTTTACAGCAGCACTCGAGTGCCTTGAAGATTCATGGTTCTGGGCCCTGTTGCCGCTGCATATGATAGAGGACTTAAACTGCCGTTCACTTGCCGTGAAGCAGTTTCTTCGCCGAAACGCATACCGCTACAAAAACGGTGGTTACGGGGGTAACGCCGACTTTAAGCGTATGGTGGAGCTTTTTAACGTAGACATGTCGCTGCTCCAGCCCGAGGAACTGCCGCTGGATGTTGCTTTTGAGCAACCCTTGAATGCTCCCAGCATTCGCACCCTCACTTCTCTCTGTGATGCCCTCGAGCGATTTGGCCGTAGCTTCAACAAGGAATAGAATTGTTTGTAACTAGAACCAACTCCCCACGTACACCAACGAAGGACGGAAAAACGAAGAACAAGGAAAGAACACGAAAACCGAGAAGAAAGAAGCGATTGAATGCAGGAATGGGGCGCGAACTGAAATTTAGTATCTAAGTGATAAATGGCTCCACGCAGACCAATAACACAACGGCCCTGGAGCGATGGGATGGGGGGTGGGCGAGCTTTTAAATGGTGTTGAGAGTTGCCGTATCATCGATGATGCCGGTGCGAAGTAGCGGCGACGCTTCTCGTTTTGCCCTCCCACGTTATCGTCTGCTTTTAATGCCTGCATCCGAGCTGTTGATGGACCAATAACTCTTCCTTTTCTTTTTTTTTTCATGTGTCTGTGTGCGTTTGTGATGGACGGTGCAAGAAGAAAGGAAGAGTAGAGAAATACAAACACACGCACACACACATACGGTTGAGAAGGTAAGAAAGAGGAACGGGGGGTGGGGGCCGCTTCGTGTCGGTCGTTGCCCGTTGACTACGCGGCGAGAAGCCATTAGCAAAGCAAAAAAAAAAACAGGTGGTGGTGGGAGGGGGGGGGGGCAACTACCAACAACAAACAAGATTCCACACATAGGCACACCCAAAGTTGCATAAAAAGGCGTTGGGGAAATGGGTTTCATTCGTGTACCTAGCTTCTCGCTGCGGTATCAGGGAAGCGGCCGAATTGAGGATATTCACCTCTTCATGACATGTCTGTATCAACTCTGGTACCACAGAGGGCCATGGAACTGCTGTTTGGCCTCCTTAGTGGACTTCCTCAATAGTCTTGTTTTGTTTTGTGTGGTTTTTTTTCTCGCACTAATGTTTGATTGGCCTACTGCGCTTAACTGCGATGAGGTGAGCTGCGGTCACGTGACGCTAGTGCACGGCGTGCGGCGGCCGACGATTTTTGGTACGAATCACATGGTGCTGGCATTAATCTTGCTACTGTCTTCATCTGTGGCTGCTGTCTACGAATTATTAAGGTTTGTGGAGACGTGTAGGCTTCAGAGCGAGCTCTACGGCATGCTACGTGGCCTTGTTGACTGCGGCTACATCACACCCGTGCATCGTCTGCTGCATAGGTGGCGAAGCATGTGTGCACGCGTCGAGGGACACGAAGAAATTGGCCTCACTGGTGGCCTTCAATTTGTAGGAGACCTGAGCTGGGGAAGCTTTTTGGATCTCGTTTGTGAGCGGATACAAAAAGATCGCGACTTTGGTATTGTGGCACACAAGGAGTTTGACAGTCTTCGTGCAGTTCAGGCGCTGATGGTGTATGACAACTATTTTATAGCGCTTCATGAGCACGGCGTCCTTGAGAAGGGCACATTAAAGTATGTGGATAATGATCTTCTCAAGATTATTATTTGTGGAATGTTTGATGAATTCAACACACTTAAGGATGAGAAAAATCAGGTATCACTGGTTCGGTGGCAAGTTATTAAGTGTCTTGTCTGTTACGTTTTACTGTATCCTTTTGTGGTGACGCTTTCGCTGCTGCGTGTACTTATCAAAAATGCTGCCATCATGCGTTCGGATTGGGGGAATTACATGGAAATGGATTGGAGTAATCACGCACAGTGGAACTTTCGCCTGTACAACGAGGTTCCACATTTTCTATCGGCTCGATTATCAGCGGGGAGAAAGATAGCGGTGGGTATGGTCTTACAGCTACAGCCATATACTAATGTTGGGCGCTTCATCCGTAGAATGGCCTCGATGGTTGTCTTTGTCACGTTGTTAATATCATTCATGAATGCACCCCTCTTCATTTCAGGTACTATTGGGGGAATCTCATTTGTTTGGTGGCTTTCCATTGCGCTCGTGCTCTTTACTGTCTTCACGGATAAAATTCCTGTGCAGCGGGAGTATAACTACACGGTGGATCTAAGCCAGCTCATTGTAAATTTACACTACTGGGAGGATGAGTGGATGCGGTCTGGGGAACGATTTTACACGGCGCTAACGCGGACTTTTCTGAAAAGCCGGGCTACTGTGATTCTTGCAGATTTGGCGCACACCTTATTTATGCCGGTTATTCTCCTTGGCGTGTTATTTGATGGAAGCATCGTGGAACTCGTAAATGGGGTTTTCAACGAGACTGTGACTGTGGACGGCCTGGGTTCAGTGTCAAGAGGATCTGCTTTTGGACTGTTGTGTGCCGGCAGCAGCGACGATGCTGCACTAGAGTCCTGCCTCGATGAAAAGGGTGCCAAGTCCATTGCAAGTTTTTCCGCCATTTACGCAGGCTGGTCGGCAAAACGGATGCAGGCGGCAGAGGAAGTGTGTAAAACGACGGAGTCGGGCTTGCATTCCACCGCAGCTCTGAACCGTTTGGTGAAAAACTTGCATGAGCAGATGAATGTGCAGAATCATCCTGATCAAATAAGGGGCTCTGCTTGTTTTTCCTCTGCTTTTCGTTCGGCCCCTGCAAATGAGGGATTTCTTCAATCAACGTTGTGGGGGCAAAGTAACGCCCACGAGAGGGAGAAAATGTTTGTCTCACAGGTTATGGGTAAAGTGCTTTCCGAGTTCCCGTGCTCGGACCAGCTACTGTCCGGACTTTCCTCGCACGGGGTGGTCAGAGAAGGTGTGTTAGGTGAGTCCGGTCCGTTTCAAACGGTGAAAACATTTTACGGATCGTCTTATCATAGTTCGGACCCCTAGTGCTCTGCTTCACTTGCAGGAGATGTTTTAGGTAGTTTATTTCTGCGGTTGTTATCCGCTCTTGTTTATCCCTTGTTTCATGTGCCGCATTGCGCCCAAATGTCTCTTGACATGTCAATATCTTGAGTTATGGATAACATGTAGGCGCCACTCCAAGGGTGGGATGTGTGCGGAAAATTCACGCACTCCGTTGCAGGTGTGGTGTCTCTCTTTTATCACGAAAACTATTTGCATTGTCCTCTCTCTCTCTCCCCCACCTACCCACGCATCCACCTTTTTTTTTGTTTTTGTTGCTTGCTGTTTTTTTTTATTTATTTATTTTTGTTGAATTTGTGCGGAGCTTCGGCGCGCCTGCCACGTGGGATGTGAAAGTGGTGATGTGGACTGCGGGGCGCTGCCCTCTGAGCAGTGTACTTTTGGTTGTTTTTCTTCCTTCTCATTGACGTTTATATATATATCTTTTTGCGGTTTCTCTTCGACCTTCCCCGCCCCGCCTCGTTCTTTCTCTCTTTCCTTTTGATCCCAAGTTTTTTCCTGCATTCGCCCCTTCCTCCGCTTGCGTTTGGGCGTCGATGCAGTCGCTGGAGGAACAACTCGATGCTCTGTGGGAGGAGAGCCGGGTAAAGCGGCGGGCGAAGGTGGATGAGCTCAACACGGCGCTCGTGCAGCGCGTGCGTAGCGACGTTGATGCGACGCTGCAGAAAGTTCGGTCGGTCCTCGCGAGTGAGCAGCCGGAAATGGAGAGGCAAATTGACCGGCTACTCCACATGATAGACGAGTTGGCTGCAGGTGTTGAAATGTGGCGACAAAAAGCCATGAGCTCCATGGATTGCATTGACAAGGAGCAAAAGGCTCTTGGAAGCATGGTGCAAGAAGTCTCCATTCGAGCGGCAGCGCGAAAGGAGGACATGCTGAAGCGGCAGAAGCAGCGCTCAGAGGAAGTGCGTGCTGCATGCATGGAACTCTTTAAGGAAGTGGAGTTGAAGTTGTGAGCATAACATCAATGCCGTCTAGTTACAGGTGCACGGTGCCCATAGAAGACATACGGTGAGGTGTGGAGGAGGTGAACCAATATATATATATATATATATATATGCGTATTCTTGGCGTATAGGTGCCTCGTGTTTTTTTTTGTTCTGTTCCGTTTTGTTCCTCACATCTATGTGCGTCGGTGTATCTAGTTATGCCTCTCTGATGGGGTTCCTTTGCACACTTCTCAGTATTGTATGGATGGCTTCCTAACACTCTGTCTCTCGCTTTCTGCATAAATATATGTATAAATTTTTCTCTCTGTCATGCTGCTTCTCTGTACTTTCGTGGACAACAGTGGATCGGAACATACCTACCAATGACAGGGTTGTATCGCGTTCTTACTGCATCGGGCAGGGTTTACGGGGCCCGGGCGTACTATACATCTATGGGTGCTGGGGGTTTCTATCAACCGTGCCTGCGGGCTGTGGAACAACGGCAGGGTCTGTGGCTTCGTTTCGCGTCACAGGCGCGAATTAACAGTGGCGTTTATCCTGCCTTGGCAGGTGCCATGACGTACGCGAGACGGTGGCAGAGTGGCACTGGGGCGACAGATTACTACACGCTCCTTGGGGTGAAGCCGGACGCCTCGGCGGACGAAATCAAGGCGTCGTACAAAAAGCTTGCCTTTCAGTACCACCCCGATCGCAACAGCGATCCAGCGGCGGAGGAGATGTTTAAAAGCATTTCCGAGGCATACCACGTGGTTGGAAACAAAGAGCGTCGAAGGGAGTACGACTTGATGCGTCGCAGCACCTCCTCCACTTCTTCTTCTTCCTTTTCAGGCAGTGGCTCGCGAGGCGGGTTCTCTCCCGGGTATTCGCAACAAGGCCCCGCAGAAGGCTATCACCACATGTCGAAAGAAGAGGCGGATCGTCTCTTTCGCGACTTGTTTGGCGGTATGAGGGTGGATCAGATATTTCGGGACCTTGAAGAGGAGATGAGGCGTGGCAGTCTAGGGGGTCGTCAGAGCCGCACCTCGTCGGAATTCAGTGAAAAGGAACAGGCGTTTCGGCCTTTTTTCCGCGGTGGATCGACCCGCATCTACGTCGACGCCCACGGCAATCGCATGGAGGAGCGTGAATTTCACGACCCGCGTGGAACAACATTCAAAGTGCGCACGGTGAGTAGTGAGCAGCCGAACGCCAGTATCAACCAACGGGTGGAGGAGTATTACAGTACCAAGGCGGGGAGCAGCCGAGATGGCAGGTTTCACTACGGAAACTCCTCTTTCACTGTGAACCCGCCTGGTGCCACGAACGACTTTGGGCAAACTCTTTTTGGTGTGCGGACACACGGAAGGCACCCACTCGTAGCCATGATGATTATTGCCGCGTGGGGAATTGTGCTTGGCACCCTGATTTTGGCTGCCTTTACATTTCTATTTTCTCATCCCGTCTTTACGATGTCCGTACTATTTCTTATTTTCCTTCGTCGGATGCGTTTCCTTTGAATAATGGATGATGAGCCTTCTCACCGCCCTGGTTATTGTGTAAGGCGGTTCTCGCACGTGGTTGCACCAGGGACGTCATTGTGGCCGCCTCATTCAACACCACCACTTTTTGTTTCTCACGTGCGCGCCTTGCGTGGGCCCTGCAGAGGGAGTTTGTGTATGCATCGACAAATACTGTCCCATGTTAGTATCGTTATTATTATTATTTTTTGCTGTTGTTGCTGCTGCCTTCCTGGTTTTTCGCTCCTGCCCATTCCTTGCTCTCGCCGCCCACAACTCCAACACCTATGAGCGCTGTGCCTTCATAGGAACAATAAGAACAGCATCCGCCAAAAAAAAAAAGATGAATCGTGTTCGTGTACTCAGCTCGCATGAAGAGAGCAACGGTCCCACGGTTGTGGTTGTGGGCTCCTGCTTCCTGGATTACATCGCCTACGTTGATCGCCTTCCGAAGCTTGGGGAAACCTTCAAGTCCCGGAGCTTCCAGAAGGGATTTGGTGGCAAAGGCGCCAATCAAGCCGTGGCCGCCGGTAGGCTTGGTGCGCGCGTGGCGATGGTGAGTGTTGTGGGCTCTGACGGCGACGGTAGCGACTACATTGCGAACTTCAAGAGGAACGGGGTGGACACCACAAACGTGTACCAGAAGCAGGGTGACGCGACAGGGCTGGCGATGATTTTTGTGGACTCCAAAACGTCAAATAACGAAATTGTGATTAACCCCAACGCGACCCACGCAATGACGGTTTCTTTCCTACGTCACCAATCAGACAATTATAATCGATTTCTTTCAAGGAGTTGCCGCTTCCTCATCTGCCAGAATGAAATTCCCTTAGAAACGACTCTTGATGTGCTGCGCGAGGCACACAAACGTGGCATCTACACGGTTTTCAACTCCGCCCCGGCCCCCTCACCGGCGGAGGTGAAGATTATTACGCCTTTCTTGCAGCATGTCTCACTTTTCTGCCCCAATGAGGTGGAGGCTGCAATGATCACTGGGCTGGAGATAACCAATGAGGCTTCCGCCGCAAAGGCCTCCAGGGCTCTGCAGGCGCTTGGCGTGCGGGACGTCGTTATCACCCTTGGTGCACGGGGTTATGTCATTTGCGAGAGGGGTCTGAAGCCGGTGCATGTACCTGGAATTCGTGTGAAGGCCGTGGACACCACCGGCGCTGGCGATTCCTTTGTTGGGTCGATGGTGTACTACATGTCGAGGGGCAAGACGCTTTCAGAGGCTTGTCGACGGGCGAATGTTTGCGCTGCGATTAGTGTCCAGCGGAAGGGCACACAGATGTCGTACCCCACAATTGGTGAACTCCCTGCGGAATTTCGGGAGTAAATTGTCTTGGGAAGACGAAAAGAGATAATTGACGTCTAGAAAAGTTTTGTGACGGATTTGTAATCAAAACGAAAGCAAACCATATAACTATATATTTTTTTTTTTCAAAGAAACGTACAAAACGATGAAAAAGTGCCATGGATCACGTCTTGGAACGCCTGCGCACAGATCTACCATCACACGCAGGGGATGAGACAACTGTGGTTTGCGTCTTCCCCCGATGCTTTCTGTGCCTGGAGTAGTTTGTCTGCGTTTGCACAGGATGCGATGTAATTTATCGAATGTACTCTCCGTGCAGGAACAAGCACACGTACCCAGTTAACTCACCTTGAAGGCAATGAAACGAAAGAAGTGAAAGGGCCCATAGTGACGACAATAGTAGCAAGCAAACAACAACAACAAAAAGAACTCCTACACTGCACGTTTCACGTTGCCATAAAACGGAGAGGCACTTACGAGAGCATTACTGAAGCAAAAAAGAAGAAAGGGGAAGCCCATATGTTGCGCTTTGCGTTGGTTGTGTGTGTGTGTGTGTTTGGGGGTGAGGGAGGTTGAGTTGTCTGGGATTGGGGTGAGGGTAGGTGAGAAGTGAGTTCCGCGTCAGAAGGGCCGTGTTGGACGTGGCCACGCTGGAGTGGGGAGGGGGGACAAAAAGCCTGTGGCTGTGGCAGCCGAACTCCTCCAAGTAATGGCCAAAGGAGGCAAAGCAAACGGGGGTTAAGGACGCCGAGGCGCACATATATTATATTATATATCTGCGCCTCAGAGGAAAAAAAAAATACATTGGTGCTGAGATGTCTTCCATGCCACTGTTGCACCCATATGCGGGTGCACTCCCGTAATAATTGGCGTGGTGCCACCTTTTGTTCTGTGCAGCTGGGTGCGTGTTGATGATTCTGCGGCGCCTTTTTTTTTTCTTTTTGCTTCGCCTGCGTTGCTCCGTCACGCCCCCCTCCTCCGTAAGGTGAAGGTAGAGATTGTTGCAGCCCCCGCGTGGAGGCAGCGGCAAGCAAGAAGAAGTGCCCAGCGACAATCACCCACACACACACACACACACACACACACACACAGAGAGAGAGAGGACGGGGGTGCGTGGGAGGGGAACGACGGTTGGCGGGAGAAACGCCGGCGTGCACAAGACTCACCCCATCACAGCATCCGCGGTGGAGGCCAACACACACTCATCCATACACCAGGAAGCAGCGTCGCGGAGGGGTGGCACAACGGGAGACGCACCCTGCCTGTGGTAACCCACGGAAGTCACACCACG